CTGAACCAAGGACAGCCAAGAATGAGGCAGCGCTTACTGTAGGTTCATCTTTGGAGGAAACCGCTGAGAACCACAAAGTTACAGATTTCTTCTCTAACTAGTTTGTGAAAACTAAGGAAGAAACAAGAACTTGTAATCATTCTTCACTTTTCTGTTAACACCAAGGATGGAAATAAATTACTTTAAGTAACCTTTGAACCAAACCACACTAAGTAATAGGATGAAGTTCATGAAACAAAAGAGCATCGGGAAAACGTACCAAAAGCACAATCTGAACTCTAAGCCAAGCACGCTAAGAAATTAAAAATCCTGAAGCTAACAGATGCTGCAGAAATTCCGTCACACACATTCATGTAGAACTTGCTACCTAAACTTCAAAGTACTTTGTGGACATTATCTCGATATTGTAAACCTTTGAAGTCTACACCTCCTGCAGCAATCAAATGGACAAACGAAGGTCAACTCCTCTCCCTCCAGCTGGCATGATTTGCATAGAAATCCCTTTGCACACACTGAAGCACATGCTGCGAGTTTCCTCCCTATCCACTTGACCTATTACTTGGAGAAATAACAGTTTATTTTGAGATAATTCCTGATAAATTCACACTCACTGCAAAACATTCCTTTGTAGCCCAGGTCAAGGCTATCACTGTCAGGCACTATCATACTACAAAGAAACAAACAGCAGAATACTCTTCCTGTTTGCACAGGTAACAACTTTTAACGCATCTTTAAAGTGCTGAAATGAAGAATTAACTATCCTGTTCTGAGTAAATCATCACCTTGTATTTAGAAACTAGTTCCAAACACACTCAAGTGTGAATGTGTTGGAATTCCACATAATCAAGTAAATGAGCTTGGTTAGGACACAGCTTTTGAAGAAAACTGTAGCTTAAAAACACAGAACTTAATAAGATTTTAATCATGTTACTTTGCCGTGTTTCATAGATACTATACTAAAGAAATAATTTGGCTGTTCTATTCTACTGCAAAAACTCTTCCCATGCCAATTTATCTTGTTTTTTTCTGTTAACCACCTGACATGAACAACTTACTGCTTTACCTCAACCATTGCTGAAAGAGCATGGTGGTTCTGATCTAATGCGTTCTCCTTCCATTTACAGTCTGCAAACTGAACCAATTAAGTAGCTTCAGCTTCCTTTCACAAAACAACATAAAAACATGGAGTATTCTTCAATTCCTGTATGGAAAATGAGAAAACAGTTCAGAATTTGTGGAAAATAAATATTCATTACTGAATTTACAGAGCATATTCTGTCCATAATAACTGAACATAATTTTCCCTAGAAAAAACATTTGGATCGTATAATGTGATTATGAAGCCAAAAAGCAAACACTGCCACCACCTTTCAAAACCAAAACAAACCACTGGAGAACTTAGAGTAAACCTCAATAGTTCCAACGCATTTTTCAAGTACTAGTAAAATAAATGGCCTTGCTTCTTACTCTGCTGTCAGAGCAGAGCTATCACTGTGACAACTCCTCAACTGTGTAAATACCAGGGAGGTTCTGACACTGGGACACAGGAGATAAGGTTGCCCTGATGTCCTGTGAACAGAGGGAGGCTCATTCATTCCCTGATTTCTATAGCTTATTAGAGAATTCCACCCCCCCCATTTACAAGTGATTTAAACACAACGATTTTCTTTCTCCCTTCCTCTATTTTAAAGACAAAAAGATGCTGTTATCTTTCTAGCCAGAACATCTCTCTTCCACAGCTCAGAAGCGGGAGCCTGCTAGGATTTTTCAGCACGAAACATCATGCATCATTCATTTCATCAGGAATTCGCAGCGCTTGTCCTCTGGGACTACAAAGCCTTGGCTGGCCAAGCACATCTCTTCCATTTAGGAGAGCTCTGAGCACTCATTCTACGCTGCAAATCTCCTGTAAATAAATATGGTTTAAATTCTACAGCATCAATCAGCTTGAATCTAGAAGAGCAGATGCACGTTGAAGGTTTCTTTAAAAATGTGGTTTCCTAGACATGTCGAGTTGGGGTTTTTTAGCTCTGATTTTTTTTTTTCTGTACTACATGAAGTTCAACATACCTACATAAAGACTTATTCAGATACGAAATATCTAAAGATATATTGTAGTACTTAAAAGATGGTTCACATACCAAATGTTTGGTAAATTTAAAATTAAGACTTCAAAAGTAGGTAGCACAGAACCTCTACTGAGTGCTTCAGTACTCACTGCTTTCTTCCTCAGCTAGAAATGGGCACACTAAAGATGCTGTCTTCCAAAGCCAATGTTATCTGCTAATCCCTGCTTCAAGAAACATCAGTGGAATGCAGCCTGAATTTTTTAGTCCAAGCAAGGTGCTCAAACAGAAAAAAAGATCTGGCTGCGTATTAGAGAAATCACAAATTCAGATCTAATTTTATTCAGAGGCCATCAAAATTCCCTGTGTCAGGGGCAAAAACTGCACTGAAACTGCAAACTAAGAAGGGGAAAAGATGCATTTGTTTAAAACCAGTACATACTAGGGGCATTGAAAACCACACAGTCATCTAATCTTTCATATTAACTCCCACAAGATGCAAAGATCTTGCAATCCAGTAGGATAACCCAACACCAACCAATTAAAAAAAAGACTTATATTTCACTTGCAACGTGTCTGCAATTACTCAGAAAAAAATAAATAAGTGCATTTAAGGATAACAGTAGTGCGATCACTTCTTAAAGCACATTTATTAACGGTACAAATCAAAGACAAGCAAGTGCAAGTAAACAGACCAGTCCTCTGATTAAAATTAAGTAACCTCTTAAGTCGCAAGGTTAGGATGGAAAGTAGCCATTCTGAGACACTGCCAAGGTACAATTAAAATCTGCAAGTTTGAACGATCCTTACCATTTGCTGAAGTACTGATCAAAGCAGAACACATGCATTACTGCAGGCAATAAATACCAACCCTAGCAAATATTAACCTTTATTATTAGTGACGGTAATAAAAGGTGTATTTATAAATTGCACCATTGCTATTTCCCAAAATAAAGTTGAAAATTACTTTTTACGATTTAATTGGTAAATGCCGTTTGAAAAGGTTCAAACTACACTGTTTAGACAGGACCAGCCCACAGAGCATTTGTTTCTGCAGTCCCTTGGAATTTGAACTCCTTGATCTCTTCATCTATGTCTGTATCTGGGAGGAAAGGAGTCTTCTCCCACGGCTGTAGAATGCCATTTCTCTTGTCCATGAAGAAAACAACAGTAGAATCCTTGAACTTAATGTTTATTTTTTCCTTAAGCGGCTGAGGAAAAGAAGGATTGCCTGTAAAACTGCAAATCCTTTAACAAGTTTATAGCACCCCAAGATTAACCCCTAAAACAAAACTAGGCAATAAATGAAGATAGACGCTTTTCCATTTCTGGAAGGAAACACAGGCTAGTTAAGGTCAAGTCACTGGCAGAGAGTTAAGACACCTACTGAAGAGATAGGAACTCTCCAAATAGACATTCCAGGATGCCTAAAGAAACTGATTACTTGGACAAAAAACTCAAACAACATATTTTTGAGGTTGCCTTTACTGGATCTGAAGAAACAAAGTAGTGTATAGGTCTGATGTGGAAAGAAAAGACTTCTGAAAACACTGCAAAAATACGTAGATCAT